AAGTTTGTAGTGAGGATTAATTAGAACATATGCATGGATGTATCTGTTATAATTTGGCACATGATACACATTGCACAAATGTTAGATGAATTTGACATTTTCAAATGATTAATGAGAAAAAATTAAAGATCACTTGAAATTTTAATGAAATTTAGATTCCTAGCAAAGGCAGCTTGTAGAGAAATCTTATTATAGAGCTCTTGGATTTTTACTAACTATAAGTACGATGTTACACATTTATCAACTTTCCTAAAACGTTGCTACTATAATTAGAAAATATAATACATTAACCAGTGTTCATGTTATAATTGCATAAAAACAGAGAGAGGCAGTTAGTTTTCCACGGATGATAAGATTAGCTTCCTCTCAGCCCTTGGAGTCACAGCTGTACAGCCAGGTTGAATAATATTTTTAATGCAGACAATGTTTGTATTAGACAAAGTCAACTTAGCATTTCACATGAGCGAGTCAAGTGCTCCCCTGCTCAGTGTGTTCTCTTTCTTCCCCTTCTTCCACTGTTTAAATAAATTATAGGAGAGGAGAATTTTAGCTTGGAACTGCTTCTAATCCATACCATGAAAGTCATGTCTGAGAATATTTGTGTGCTTGCCTTCATGTCCTCAAAAACTCCCCTTCAAAAGAACTTTTCCACAAGCTGTGTATTTCCTTTGTTTCTACTTCCCTCACAAGCATAATTCAGAAATGGCTTCTTAGTGAAACATGCCCTTGAGTGTGTCTTCTTATGAGGGTCATTGTATCTTCCACAATACTACGATCCAACTTAACCCTATTTTATTTCTTAATCAGTTACATGTCTATCAAGGGATTTTCCTTTCAATGGCAAGATTTTACCTTACTGAAAAGTAATTTTTTAAAAAGGAGATAGGACCCCAAATTTCTTTATCTTAAAAAAGTAGGAAAGTACTAGAATAAAGTGAAAAACAGCAGCAGAGACTTGGGGCCTTAGGCTTCAAGTGATAAATCTTGCAGTTTCCCCATAACCCTCAGTCTCTAGGACATATTTCTCCCTCTCTTATTTGCTAATAACTACTATTCCAGCATTGGTTGTAGTTGCATGGTGTACCTGGATGGATCTCTCACATTCACCCAAGCTTTCCCATGAAGGAATGCTGTGTAGTTCCAGATAGTAAATGGGATGCAGAGGTGGCTAATCTGGTTGAAAATGGGAGAGACACAGTGACCTACCTCCCTTTCCTCCCAGACACCAAGGAATCTTGGCTTTGTCCTTGAAAAAACTCTCTGCTTCAATTCAAGGGCACCATACCTCCCAGCAGAATAAAGTGTCACCAGAGAAGAGTAGAAATCAGAGCTTTCAAGGCCTCATTCATGCATACAGGCTGCTGATTTCTTGGTAAGGAAACTAAGCCTTCTGGAATCCACGACCCATAAACCTTGGAATCACTTTTGCCTGGTAAAAACACCCTGGCCTCTCTCTCTCCAGCGCATTCATTGCCAGCCCAATGCTTTCGCCTTCTCATCTCTCAGGAGTAGTAGCTTTCTTACCCAGAATGCTGTTGTTCTGGGCCTCTCACGCGCAGTTTCAAAAGCTCCTCTCTGAGCTTTCTTCGGAGGTCCTCACTTTCAATAGTGAATATGTGACAGCTGAACTAAAGACAGCAGAGTGACAAGGGTGCCCCTGGAGCTAACATCTCACTTAGCTAAATGACAAGGAACCTTTCAGAAGCCACCACTGCCAGTCCCAAGATGCCTGCTTTAAGAATAAATAATTCCCCCTACTTTGAAAACTTCTAGTTGGACTAGATTTAGGATGAACTATTTTTACACATTTCTTAGTTTCTAATAAGTAGATGCATTTTATTTTTTAGCACAAGTATTGTTTTTTGCTTTCCTTATTTTGCCAGACAGTACCAATTTTGGAAGTAAAACTAGAAACAACTCCCCTGGATGGTGTTATCCCTTATTAAGACTGTAGACTTGGCTCTCCAAAGGAAGGAGGGTATAGGAAGTTGGAGATACTTTAGCCATTTGGAGTCTCCTCATGGACCAGAGGAGGCATTATTATTTTAGAGTTTGCATACTGCCCCCTCCTGGTCTTATATACAGGAGTGTTACCGCATGTCAGATGTGCTTATTATGATCCCACACTTGGGTGTTAGGTGGCTGTGAACACAGAGGAGTTTGTTTCAAATATTCAGAACATCTCATCAATAATTTACACGTGAAGCTAATAGTGAGAAAATAAACTCCCTATTCCTTTGGCTCCTGGATTTATATTTAAGGATGCCCATCATTACATCTCACTTCAGATCCTTATTGATTCAACCCTCTTATTTCCCATCCTCTTAGCTCTCACATGCCTCTGGGACTCTACAAATCAGTTCTCTAACCAAGGGCTGCATCCTGTTGATGGTCAAAGACACCCTCCCTACTAAACTAAAGGTGGTGGTGATGGGAAACAGGCTGAAGTTGTAGGTCAGTTTTTACGTAAGTCTGAGGACTATATTTTAGCTTGACATGATCAAAATTAACCACACATTACTAAGTCAACATATCCAATTCACAGAGACAAAGAAACTAACTCACAGGAAGAGAAGCAGCTAATCAAACTAAAACAATAAAACAAACAACAAACAAAAACCAGCAGATGATACCATAGGTCTAATTTACAATTGCACATCTTTCCCTTTAAACAATTTGTCTCATATGTTTGCCCTTTGTGGGATGGGTACTAAGCCCTATATTGGGGACATTTTCCTTAGCTGCAATAATTCATTAGAATTCTTGTAACTACTTAAAGAATCTGATACTGAGGTCATACCTACAACCCAACAGAATTGCTTTCGTACACTGGAGTACAAATGTGGCTGGACTCATCTGTCCTGTGCCTGTCAGGCTTCTGCAGACTCCCAGTGTTTGTCCTTGACCCATCAGGCCAGGCTTCTCCCTTAAGAACTCAGGGCCCAGACTCAGGCTCTAAACCCATTCCTTTGCATTAGAAGAGGGTTAGGGAAGAGGTATTTACTTTAGAGAGATTTAAAACAACTACCTAGTTTAAACTTTACCAAACTTATGGGTATCTAAAACTCTGGCTGCCTATACTAAAATTTGTAGAGAATGAACATGAGATTACCTCTCTCAATGAAGAATGATAATATGAAATGATGAATAATCAAAGTGTTGTTTGTATTTATCTTTGAAAAGTCATCAGTGTTTACACAAAGTAATATATTTGGTTTTACATTCAGTCAGTCAATACTAACATGCCCAACATTGCTTTAGAGTTTGAATGATAAGAGAGAATTGGATTTTAACTTACTTTAGATATTACATTTATAGAAGATTGGCAAATTCTCATGATGCCAGTCTACTCTTGGGACTACAAATAGAATTTAGTTGGATCAATTGGTTGCTTTTATTTAAATAGGTAAGTACTTTTCAATTGGGAGTTTCCTTTGTGATGTAAAAGGAGTAAAATATTCACCTATAAAGTTAAAATGCCATCTCTTAAATATAATATTAACTTACCAAATATATTCTTTAACATGATTTCAAAAATAAGCTTTCATGACTACCTGGTATAGCCAAGCATGTATTTCCCTTAATGACAGAAGAACACATTCATCTGATAAAAAACAGATTATTAAATTCTGTGTTGTAACATGTAAAACAAATACAGTTCTTACGACTTCCTTATTGTCCTTGGTCAGGCACAACTTGGGATGATAATCATTCTGAAAATCAGGTACCACTGAATGGTGGGTTGATTATGAATTATCAATGAATGGCATGGATATGATGCACTAAGAACTCACTGAGAAGAGTACTATTTTGATGTACGATACCCTATTTGATTGCTCCTACACTTGCTACAGTGACATTCTCTTGTTGACTGGAATCCCAATCTGTGTATAGTCTCCAATGCAGAAAAAGCACTTTTTAATAGGGATTCTGACCAGTTCATTACCAGTACATGAACACTGCTCAGAGCAAGACCAGTTTTTTAACTGAGTCTTTATGCAGTTTCATCTGGCTTTTCTGGGGAAAGACTGAACTCATTAAGCAATGTTAATTTAATCACAAGTAATCAACAGGGGAAAAAAGTTGCATAACCATCTTTAAAATTCTGAATCAAGTGTGATGAAATTCCAGGAAAATAGATTATTATCATTTTATTTATTTATTTATTTTTACAAAACTTGCACTTCAAAAATAAAGGAAAGAAAGAAGCAGCCAGAAGCCTACCAGTGTGGGATTGAATAAGATCAAACAAACAAACAAACAAACAAACAAAAACCCTGACATTTCCTTACAAGTATCATATCTACTGCATGGTTCTCCAGTTCATAACTTTTTAACATAGTAATATATGAGAGCTTGGAACTCATCTTGTCTGGGGATGCAGAATATAAATGTATTGTTAACTCATAAGGTAAGAATAAAGCAAGTACCCAGGAAGAATTACTGGCCATTTAAATCTATGGATGTTCCTTCTTCCTTGTCTTCCTTTAATAGTAGCATAATGATATGGTGATATTTCATTCATGAGCCTAGTCCACCTTGGCCATATGCTTTAAAAATCAAAGTCGTGCCCAAGTCCACTGTGGTTCCTGCTCTTACAGGGAAAGTATTACCCTGATTCTAGGTGGGAAATGTTTAAAGACTGCTTTCTGACAATTAGGTGTTTGACTTGCCATAGGTCACCACTGTAATGGAGGTCCCCCCCAGAGATTCTTGTGGGTTGTGTGGCAACATGCAGGTATTGATGTTATTTAAAAGAAAGAGATCCCAGCCAAGTTTAAAGGTCCTTGATTTACACCTACACATAATTCAATAGATGAATAAACCTTGTGGTCCCCATAACACGCTGGCAGCTTTAATTATCTAGGGTGAATCAGAAGAGACAATCACTCAGGGCTGTCTATTTTGACCAGCCAAGGAACAACGTCAATCTATTACAAGTGCCTTGTAAAGGTAGAAATCAGAAACCGTGTGTAGATTAGTCGTGACAAGCTGCGTACCTGCAATGACGTGAAGGCAGCCTCCTCCTCGGGTCCCTTCTCTCTCTCTCCCTCTCCTTTCTCTGAGTTACAGTCCACAGAGGGGTTTAAGTTTGATCTCCCGCCGCCGCTTTCAGCTCTACCGCAGCCGGGCTCCAGCAGAAGCCCATAAGCAAAGCGCTGGCTGAGCGGAGGAGAGCGGGAGCCCGCGCCACTGCTCGGCTGCTGCGCCTGCAGATGCGACGGAGCCCGGAGACTGAGCTCTGACTGCTCTCTGCGCTGCGTGGGGATATTAGCACAGTCTGGGATTTCTATTGGCTCTGAACACCAAACAAATCACACCAGCCACCCCCCTCCCTTCTCTGTTTCACTCAGCGCTTGTTTCTCATCTAACCCACAAACATTGCAGCCACACACACTTCAGTTACTTGCAATGTTTCTCGTTTCCTCCCTCCAGTCTGTGGATTTACAACCTTGTGGTCAGCTCTAACATTTTTTTTAGCAGACTTCCAATCCAAACCTTCTTGTTTATGTAGAGAAATCCTCCATCCCCTGAACCCGCAGAAACCACTCATTCCCTTCAGATCTTCTTCCTCCTTTTGTAGATGGGTCTGCAATGTGAAGAATGTAGAATGCTTGTGTGTGTGACATGACCAACATTCATATGTCTCTCTCTCTCTCTCTCTCTCTCTCTCTCTCTCTCGATTCCTTTTTGTTTTGAATAACTGAGGTCAGTGAAATTAAAAGCAAGCTGAGCCTAATAACCCAAGTGAGAGTTTGACTAATAAAATCTTGAATGAATTAGGTGCAAAACATTCATTGCTTGAGTTTGTTTCCTGTTCCAAATAGCGCTTTGGTCATTATTATCCTTATTTTTGTTTATTGAATGCAGAGGTTTCTAATGCAAATCAGACTCTTGAACATCCAGAAAACATGGAACAATGAAGCCAGACCAATTCTTGTGTTCCATGGGTTTGGTGTATTATATCAGAATATGGTGATGCCTGCTTATTTCCTCTTACTATTTTTTTTGGTCCTCTCCACCGCATCTCAGGTCTGAGACTCTTGCTATGATTCAGTAGCCAAAGAATACTCTCCAGACTCTGCTGATAGAGGCTCCTGGATGAAAATTTGTCATCTGTATATGTCAGTAGAGATAAAACTCTTGGCTCCTCAGTGTGTAAGGGTCCAAGAAAAAGAGATCTTACATACTTGGCTGGGAAAATTCCAAATAAAGCTTCACTGTGTTTTAGAAAACAGACCTTTCCTTAGCTTTTCCCCCAAAATCAATTTCACTGGTGCTTATGGAAATTTTAATGACAGTTATTCTTGACAAGAAGCCATTGCTTCCGAAATCACTGGGCTCTGTTTTGATTTTTGACTTTAATTTTTTTCCAGCATTATTTCTTTTATATTCTATTTTTTATTTGATAATTTGGTTCCAGACAACTCATACCATATTTCCTTACAGAATCATGGGAACTAATAATTTGTTTTTGAAATTTATTATCACCAAATTACCTGCTTTCTTTTCTTACTTGGGTAGGTTCCAGGAATTCTGAAATGCAGTCTTATTTTCAGAGAGGCCAACCTGAAATCAGTTGAAATTCACAGAAGAAAAACAAACAAAACTATATTTGGCTATTGATTCCTGCTAACCACAGTTGAACATCACTTGGCTTATCCTTATTGCTTTACTAATGCCAGTCCATTCTACAGGTAGTCAGTTTTAAAATTAATAGTACCATTAAAAATCTTTGAATGTGTAGAGTGCACTTTTTCTAAAGAGTTGAAGAGTCCTAGAAAGAGAGATCCACAGGTAAGATTTTCTAGATGTTATAGGTAGATACACAAAATAAGAGAATAATAAAGCGACTTGCTGAATGTAGACAACAAATAAGCTGGGGGATTGGATGGCTGCCCTCCTTGTATTTTCAAGATTATTTGTTCATACAAACTATTCAAATCAAAGGAAAGTGAAGGGCTAATGCAGCAGATTCTGAGTCCTGCCTTTGCACAGAAGAGCTAACAATTCATGAAAGCATCTTCTAATCTGATAGTCATTTTTCACATTATCTCAGAACTGATATTTTCAGGTAAGTCATGATTTTTTCAGCTAAGTTACCAATAATTTGCCTTGTAACTTCTTTTCTAGGGGAAAAAAGACAGTGACTACTTTTTAAAAAATGAAGCAGAACATTATATTTTCTGCTGGTTATTTTCAGGGCTCATTATAGCTTTCCATATCACTGGAAAGACAGTGTAAAATCGTGAATAATGAAGTCACAGATAAATCTGTAACTTCATTTTAGGTAATAATTTAAGCTTTCTTTTCTCCAGTTAATGAAGAGCAAAACTGGATGATTTAAGGGTCACTTCTTATACCCAATCAGTTGTGTGGTTAGGGGAAAATAAATCATCAGTATAGATTCTTCTATATTCTTTCGATCATTTCCTACTTTAAAAGTTATTTCAAAGACATTTCTCAAATGTGATAGCTCCATAAGCTCATTGTTGATGACATAAACATTGATTATAACAAAAACTCTTACATTTCTGTACATATAATTGTGGACTGCCATGCAGATTCATGGCAAAAAACAATCCCATTTTATTTTCCATTCATTCAGCCACATCAATATCGCCTGGTTTACTCCCAAGTGGCACATTTTACAAGAGACATTCACAAGTTGGCATGTATACAGGATAGTTGACAAGAGAGTGAGTCTGGATACTATAATTGATAAGAGATGCTGGAGAGAACTGGGCAGCTTTTCTTGGAGAAAGTTCTCAGGGTGAAGATTTTGAAGTATTACATGTGGAAAAGAAAATTTTCAAGTATTACATGTGGAAAAGAAAATATGTTTACCATTCATTTAATGCTTCCAATGCATTGTCATCAATATTTCCATAGTTGAATCTTTAAATGACCACATGAGGACTATAGGATAACTATTATTAGGTTAATTTTATAGATAAATAATTTTTTTTTGGTGAGAAAGTCATCTGATTTAGTCATAATTATGGTGCCAAAGGATAGGAAGAACTTGAAATGTATTCTCAGCCTTGAGTTCTTCTAGAGAGAAAAAAGGGAGGTGGGTGAAATTCATGATAGGAAAGGAATTCTCATAATTCTCAGAATTCAACAACTAAGATTTCCTGGCACAATGATGATTTGGAGATTTTGATCTGAGTCCCTGAAGTGGTCAAGAAAAGGTCTCATAGTAATCTAAAGAGATTTTTATAGCATTATTACAAATGTTAGACTGAATGATCCACGATTCATTTTAATTTGAAAACATCTTTGATTTTACTATTGGCCTTTCGAATACTGTTGAAGAATTTATAATTTTATTGAATGATCCGTGGTATGTTAAATAAAAAAGGTCACAATTGTGATCTAAGTATAGTTATGGCCTATAGATGATTATAGGTGGCCTTTTGCCCTTCATTTGATATATCAGTAGTTCCATAGTTTGCAATAAAAAATCAAAAAGTAAGGTTATAGTTCTTTCTTTGCTATATGGAAATATGAGATTTCCACATGACTAGAATGTAAAAGACTGACATCACATTTCTAGTGTTTGAAGCTTCACATTCTTGATCTTGTCTATACCTACCCATTTATTTTATTTCCAATGTAGGTTGAATGACATCCTAATTCTACATTTCCCTCTGGTTATCTCTTTATTCATCTAAATAGCTTTCTTTTAACCTACCTACTTGTTGACATATCTATAAATGCTGATTTAGTCCTTTTACTACCTTCCTCAGATTATTTTAGCAGTTAAATTTAAAACTGTTAAAGTGATTTTGATATGTATAGTTTTGAATCCTTTGATTTATTGGCTATTAAATTTTATTAAAGATAAAAGTCTTTACATTGTAGAAAGCCAAATTCTTCTGTTGGCTAATGTTCTGTATTTACAAAAGAGTGTCCACATGAAATCTTTTTTACTATTCACTGATATATGTGAATCTGTATTCTTACCATCCATAAATTTTGATTGTTTGTTTGTATAAAACAGCATTTATCTCTCTTGGGTCACAAAATTCCTACCCAAAAAGTGTAAGAACGATTTATAAAAGTTTTATAGAAAAAAATATAGCCTTTACTGTGTTGCAAAAAGACCTTCTTGGCCAGAGAGTACCATCTGTCATGTTTGTGTTACCCCAGTGGAGCAGAGATCATAACCCACAGATGAGCTTGGGAAATTAATAGGAAAGGGGATGACCACATATTCATCTCAAGCCCCATCTTTTCCCTTAAGACCCAGGGAGCAGGTGGTCATGAGTGTTTTTCATTCATTAGCCAATGCTTATTAGATGTCAGTAAGGCCTCTGTACTGTACTCTTAGTTCCGAGTTGTGGTTGGGAAGAGGTGAAGACGGTGCGATAGGAGTAGAGGGAAGACACAGCCTCCTTTGACCTAAATGTGTTTATGACTTAGTGTAAGCACTGAATATATGAGATAGGTCAAATAAGATTTGGAATGACAAATGTGGCTGAAGGGATGGCCAGGATGGTCCCATTGCGGTGCTTGTCACCCCACAGTTCTTTCCCAGGCCTTACAGCTAAGGAAGCAGACCTACATAGTTGCATAGATGGGTGTAGATGTACTGTAGATGTATGGTATTCATCTGCCCCTATGGCTACAGACACCAGGCTAGGAGAGCACACAGGACTCAAAGACAGTCAATTTGCTCCCTGCAGAGATAACAGTCAGTTGACTATTGATCAGATTTCCTCTTTTGTAGATCTTAAACCAGTGTTTTTTCTCTCATTTGTTGTTTCTTTCATCTTTCTATTTACATATCTACTATCATTATCTACATCTATCTATCATAATCTATTATGTATCTTTGTATGTCTATCTATCTATCTATCTATCCATTCATCCATCTATCATCCTAATCTATCTATAGTTGGCAGTTGGTAGAAATATTTATGGTCCTGGTTGGAGTAGGCATCTATGAAGTTCTAATGTATAAAAGCAAGATAATGATAAAATCCATTTGTTTATTCTTTCTTAAATTCCATGCAATTTGCCTTTATTCTCTTTTTTTCTGTGTGTACTCACATACCAAATCTTCCAATGTTTGAGGTAAGTTGTTTGAATTTCTCCTCTTATAGGAGACAACATGAAGAAAAGATCCCAGCAGAATATTTTAGAAATACCTATAATACGGAAACTTATTAGGAAGAGGTTTAGATGATGACTGAGGTTCAAATGATGGGCATTATTGCACTTTAATCTGGTACATGTACTCTGATGTCAACACTAAATCGCTTGCTGTTTGGGTATCTT